ACACGCCCAGTACTTTCCTTTCGACACACCCACTCCTTTCTACACGCCCAGTACTTTCCTTTCGACACACCCACTCCTTTCTACACGCCCAGTACTTTCCTTTCGACACACCCACTCCTTTCTACACGCCCAGTACTTTCCTTTCGACACACCCACTCCTTTCTACACGCCTAGTACTTTCCTTTCTACCCACCCACTTGCCCATACTCCGGTCACCATATTGGGATGCAGCTACCCCCTTCCCTCTTAACGTCCAAAAGCCAATGTCATGTCACAGGCTCTCTTTCCATTTCCCCTGAAAACCGGATGCATCCGGTTATGACCGACCCATCTGAGGGTGGCAGTGACTGACATAACAAGAGAAACTGCTGATGCACAACCACATTTCGAAATTGCACCTTGTGTATTCTACTATTCTACGTCTTAACAGTTTATCCACAGACCTACAAAAGGGGGGGCCGCCAGTTGCCCATCCCTGCCATAGGCAAATACAGTAAGTCTTCTTCTTGACATGATGGTATTCATAACAATGATGTTCTTTATTCAACTATTCAGCTGCTCTACTGTGCTTTTTAGTCACGCCTATAGTCATTCATATGTAATAATATAATATTATTGGGCTCCCGAGTGGCGCAGTGGTCTAAGGCACTGCATCTCAGTGGTTGCTACAGACCCCCTGGTTCGATTCCAGGCTGTATCACAACCGGCCGTGATTGGGAGTGCCATAGGGCGGCGCACAATTGGCCCAGCGTCGTCCGGGTTTGGCCGGTGTAGGCCATCATTGTCAATAAGAATTTGTTCTTAACTGACTTGCCTAGTAAAATAAAAATTACACAGGATGAACACATAGCAGACTTGAAACACTGATGTCCTCACATGAGACCAGTGTTTCAGCCTGTAGCTCCAGACAATGTAGCGGAGACTGCATTGCAACATAATGAAAAGGCAATGATGCCTGGAAGTAGGAGCCTAGTGGGCGTTTCTACACCACATACTGTAGCCATAGAAATTGTATTTCACAGTGCGACAGCTATAGGTCAATTAGGACCTTTGTCTTAGATTGGTATCTGCAGAGTGCTTTAAATGTTAGTGTAAACATTGTCATTGGATATTATATGCCTATCATTATATATGTCTTGAGTCTGTAATTGCTTTGCTGTGTAATTGCTGATAGTGCCATAGGATAATGACAATGACAGCATACAAACTGGTAATTGTCATAGAATTGCTATGACTCATATAAACTATAGTCTAGCATAGGCTAGAATAAGACCTTACCTGTGCTCATGGTAATCCCCGGTTTCTTCACAATCCGATGTACAGTGGATATAGCCTCATTCAACTACACACCTCTGGTCAGGAGTGTAGACTGCACATTGATGATGCCTCCCCTGCAGAAGATGCTTAAATCGACTCGCCTCTGCCCCTTCAGAGATGTAGCCTATAATACAATGTCGAAACTATGAAATTATCTGCCGCCGTGATTAAGCGCTGATACTGGCATATAGCAATATCGTATTATGCGATACAGTAATGTTTTACTCCCTTTCCAACTGCACGGGATGGGTGTGGGCGTACGGTCGCGAGCCAGGCGATAAATAGCGCCCCAACAGCTCCACGGGGCTCCCCGCGAACAAGGGCGTCTGGGAAATTGAGTTTATACCAATAGAAACAAGTGTTCAATTGACTCTCACATGGGTCTGTCTAGGAATTTCCGGCTGGTACGACTGCGACGCAGTGTAAACAACGCGTTGGATTGCTTGGACGATAGAGCAGAGACACTGCAGCAACAGCGGTTTATATTCTTCCGAGGTTGCCCTTTTGTCAGTCGTGCCCTTTTTGTTAGTCATAGCAAAGGGAGACAAAACGGTCATTTATCAGCCAATGTTATGGACACAATGCTGTAGCCTGGAGTGATGTCTAGTTCTTCAGAGAGAAGTAAATTTCCCTAATATTATTGTTGGCCTCAGGCCTATCTATAGGCATATTATGTTAGACCTATTATATTAGCCTATAGACATTTTACAAAGGCCTATATCACTTTTAGTTTCCAACATTCAAGTGATGGAAATGCACAATTGCGTGACTGATAATCAATATAATTATACATTGAGTTATTATACACATGAATTGGAATCCATTATAACCTCATAGAGTACAATTATTCATTTGAAATCAAACACTGTTTATAGAGTACAACACAGAACAGTATAGTAGGCCTGCAGTAGCCTAAAGTGTTATTCAAGGTCTAAGGATTTTACTTTCCTACGCTTTTTGTACCTCCTGATGGTCAAATAAGAGCAGGCTTTACTGCAATGCTGCTATGTCGTTTCGTCCAGATGAAAACAAACACAATATACAATGTTGGAACTAAATTAACATTTTTAGATTAAACATTGATTACATTGTTCATCATAACCTCATATTTCTACATTAGGGTGGCAACAATGTAACACGATATGGACCCGGTGTTTGTGATGCTCGTCGTTTGGTGCGACACAGACAGGGTCTGAGTGGAGAAACAGAAGAGTCATTGTCTGTTCTTTTGAGTTTTGATGTTGAGTCTTTGCCCGACAAAGTGATGTTAGGATATATAAGTTATCCGGTACGAGCATTTGTGCCGAATACATTACGTTGTTACAGGTGTCAAGATTATGGGCATGTGTCAGCAGTGTGTATGAGGGAGGTTCCTAGGTGTGAGAAGTGTGCAGAAGGGCATGAGACAAAGGAATGTGTAGCATTGGGGAAAGTGGTGGTATGTGTTAATTGTAGGGGTGACCATGGGGCTGGGGATCCAAAATGTTCGGTGCGAGAGAGGCAGGTTGAGGTTTCCAGGGTTAGAGTAGTGCAGAAGTTGTCATATGCGGATGCAGTGAAGAAAGTAGAGGAAGATGGGTCAAGGGGGAGGGATCCTGAGAGGAATGGTGTGAGTAGTAGATCTGTACCAGTACAGAGGGATAAACCAACAAGTTATATACAGTTGAAGTCGGAAGTTTACATACACTTAGGTTGGAGTCATTCAAACTTGTTTTTCAACCACTCCACACATTTCTTGTTAACAAACTATAGTTTTGGCAAGTCGGTTAGGACATCTACTTTGTGCATGACACAGGTAATGTTTCCAACAATTGTTTACAGACAGATTATTTCACTTATAATTCACTGTATCACAATTCCAGTGGTTCAGAAGTTTACATACACTAAATTGACTGTGCCTTTAAACAGCTTGGAAAATTCCAGAAAATGATGTCATGGCTTTAGAAGCTTCTGATAGGCTAATTGACATCACTTGAGTCAATTGGAGGTGTACCTGTGGATGTATTTCAAGGCCTACCTTCAAACTCAGTGCCTCTTTGCTTGACATCATGGGAAAATCTAAAGAAATCAGCCAAGACCTCAGAAAAATAATTGTAGACCTCCACAAATCTGGTTCATTCTTGGGAGCAATTTCCAAACGCCTGAAGGTACCACGTTCATCTGTACAAACAAAAGTATGCAAGTATAAACACCATGGGACCACGCAGCCGTCATACTGCTCAGGAAGGAGACGCGTTCTGTCTCCTAGAGATGAACGTACTTTGGTGCGAAAAGTGCAAATCAATCCCAGAACAACAGCAAAGGACCTTGTGAAGATGGTGGAGGAAACAGGTACAAAAGTATCTATATCCACAGTAAAACGAGTCCTATATCGACATAACCTGAAAGGCCGCTCAGCAAGGAAGAAGCCACTGCTCCAAAACCGCCATTAAAAAGCCAGACTACGGTTTGCAACTGCACATTGGGACAAAGATCGTACGTTTTGGAGAAATGTCCTCTGGTCTGATGAAACAAAAATAGAACTATTTGTCCATAATGACCATCGTTATGTTTGGAGGAAAAAGGGGCATCCTTGCAAGCCGAAGAACACCATCCCAACTGTAAAGAACGGGGGTGGCAGCATCATGCTGTGGGGGTGCTTTGCTGCAGGAGGGACTGGTGCACTTCACAAAATAGATGGGGAAGGGAAATTATGTGGATATATTGAAGCAAAATCTCAAGACATCAGTCAGGAAGTTAAAGCTTGGTCGTAAATGGTTCTTCCAAATGGACAATGACCCCAAGCATACTTCCAAAGTTGTGGCAAAATGGCTTAAGGACAACTAAATCAAGGTATTGGAGTGGCCATCACAAAGCCCTGATCTCAATCCTATAGAAAATGTGTGGGCAGATCTGAAAAAGCATGTGCGAGCAAGGAGGCCTACAATCCTGACTCAGTTACACCAGCTCTGTCAGGAGGAATGGGCCAAAATTCACCCAACTTATTGTGGGAAGCTTGTGGAAGGCTACCAAAAACGTTTGACCCAAGTTAAACAATTTAAAGGCAATGCTACCAAATACTAATTGAGTGTATGTAAACTTCTGACCCACTGGGAATGTGATGAAAGAAATAAAAGCTGAAATAAATAATTCTCTCTACTATTATTCTGACATTTCACATTCTTAAAATAAAGCGCTGATCCTAACTGACATAAAACAGGGATTTTTTTACTAGGATTAAATGTCAGGAATTGTGAAAACAGAGTTTAAATGGATTTGGCTAAGGCGTATGTAAACTTCCGACTTCAACTGCATGTTTCAGTAAGATTGGCTTTTTGGCATTTATAGCAATGGTTATCAACTGTACAGCAGGGATGGAACGTAAATCGCAGAAAATAGAGATTGTGGTGGCAGCTGCAGAGAGGTATTTGGGTGTGCGAGACTTGACATCAGAAGAGTTACAGGGTGTGTTAAGTGGTGGTGTCCCATCCTTTCCTGATGTTGGCATGAAGTAGGAATAAATAGATTTAAATAGTGGAGTATGGTAGTTATTATTATTAATATCGTTTTTTTTGTGTGAGTGTAGTGTTAGCTGGTAGGCTATTTTTATTTTTTTAAAGCAAAGTATAAGGGAGTTATTCTCCAGTCTAGTAGGTGGCGGTAATGCAACATTTATTGGATGCCAACCGCCGTTAAACCTAATCGAAGAAGAAGAACGCGATATGGAGAGGCGTTGCCTTGAAATACGTCGAATATTCGCGACTGTCAGCATGGTAGCAGAGACATGCGTGTAATGTTTTGATCAGACAAATATATTTGGTTACGCTACTTCTTACGAAAATGCCATTAAAAGGCTCAGATGAAGACGGGTTTGGAATAGAGATCGTCCTTCAACAGGGAGACAGAAAAGCACCATTGTGTGTACATGGTAAGTACCCAAATGTCTGAATGATAGCGAAGTTAGCTAGCTAGCGTCTACTTAGCTAGGTTTGGGAAAAGGGACATATGAATCTATGCTATAGATACTAGCTAGCTATGTTAAGTTATGTTTTACCATTGACATCTGAATATGAATTATTCGGTGAAGTATGCATACTGTAATGCAGATGTTCTTGCCCCATGCAGGTCCAACTTTGTTGTTTGAGAAGGTCTGCAAAGGAGAGGAGAAAGGCCGGAGGTTTTATGCCTGCTCAGCGTGCAGAGACAGAAAAGAATGCCCCTTCTTTCTGTGGGAAGATGAAAAGGTAACCGAGTTAACTAGCTAGCTTTTTTAAAAATCTACTGGCAAATATAGTTGGCCTAAGTATACAGTGTATTTGTAAAGTATTCAGACACCTTACCTTTTTCCACATTTTGTTATGTTACAGCCTTATTCTAAAATGGAATAAATAAATAAAAATCCTCATCAATACCCCATAATGACAAAGCGAAAACAGATTTTTAGATATTTTAGCAAATGCATTTAAAATAAAAACATACCTTATTTACTTAAGTATTCAGACCCTTTGCTATGATACTCGAAATTGAGCTCAGGTACATTCTGTTTCCAATGATCATCCTTGAGACAATTCTACAACTCGATTGGAGTCTACCTGTGGTAAATTCAATTGATTGGACATGATTAGGAAAGACACACACCTGTCTATATAAGGTACATGTCAGAGCACAAAAACCAAGCCATGAGGTCGTAGAGCTCCGACACAGGATTGTGTCGAGACACAGATCTGGGGAAGGGTGCCAAAACATTTCTGCAGCATTGAAGGTCCCCAAGAACACCGTGGCCTCATTATTCTGCAATGGAAGAAGTTTGGAACCACCAAGATTCTTCCTAGAGCTGGCCGCCCGGCCAAACTGAGCAATCGGGGGAGAAGGGCCTTGGTCAGGGAGGTGACCAAGAACCCGATGGTCACTCTGACAGAGCTCCAGAGTTCCTCTGTGGAGATGGGAGAACCATCCAGAAGGACAACCATCTCTGCAGCACTCCACCAATCAGGCCTTTATGGTAGAGTGGCCAGATGGAAGCCACTCCTCAGTAAAAGGCACCTAAAGGACTCTCATACCATGAGAAACAAGATTCTCTTGTCTGATGAAACCAAGATTGAACTCTTTGGCCTGAATGGCAAACGTCACGTCTGGAGGAAACCTGGCACCATCCCTATGGTGAAGCATGGTGGTGACAGCATCATGCTGTGGGGATGTTTTTCAGCGGCAGTAGTCAGGATCGAGGGAAATATGAACAGGGCAAAGACATTTACATTTATGTCATTTAGCAGACGCTCTTATCCAGAGTGACTTACAAATTGGACAAAGAACAAAGAGATCCTTGATGAAAACCTGCTCCAGAGCGCTCAGGACCTCAGACTGGGGCCAAGGTTCACCTTCCAACAGGACAACGACCCTAAGCACACAGGAGTGGCTTCGCGACAAGTCTCTGAAGATCCTTGGTGGCCAAAATGGCTCCTACAATAGCCTACATTTCTCCAAATACAGGTGTGCCAAGCTTGTAGCGTCATACTCAAGGCTGTAATCGCTGCCAACGGTGCTTCAACAAAGTACTTAGTAAAGGGTCTGAATACTTATGTAAATGTGATATTTCAGTTTTGTATTTTTTTTATAAATTAGAATTTCTAAAAACCTGTTTTTGCTTTGTCATTATGGGGTATTGTGTGTAGATTGATGAGAGAGAAAGGGGGGGGGGGGGGGGGAGATTCAATCAATTTAAGATTAGGCTGTAACGTAACAATGTGGAAAAAGTCAAGGGGTCTGAATACTTTCCGAATGCACTCTAAGTAGGCCAAAATGGTTCCTACAATAGCCTACATTTCCTTTTATGGTAGCTTAATTGATGCCTTTGACTTATTAGAAGTCCTGGGTTGAGTTCCTCACCGACGACGTTACAGATGCATGCCAGATCTTACAATGCCTAAAATCTGCTAACCACATGATATAGCCGTGTGATGCCCAACTGCACAGTCGATGGTGTGGCATGCAACCATTGATTTATTCAATGCAACACCTGCGCGTCTAGTCGTGCAAATAGCTAGCTACACTGTTTGTGCATATAGCTAGCTACACTCCCCTATTTTCACCAGGTGTGTGACATGTTTGTGTTGTAGGTGTCTGAGGCCAGGCTTTTAGCCAGAGAGGAGGAGAACCGGTTAAAGATGCCTCCTTTTACCCATCAGGAGTACTGCTCCAGGTAAATGGCCTACACTTGACCTGTAAGGGGACACTATCCACGGAACTATTCCATTCCAAGTTAGAAATGGAACAGAATAGGTGTGTGGATAACAGTCCCACTGTAAGTACCTTTTATTAAGATGCCAGAAAGATCATATTATTAGTATTTAACTTCATAGCTTTCTACTCCTTATCTCACAACCTGAACATAATGTTCCTCCAATCAAAAACATGGTTGGTTGTTTATTTTATTTGACATTTTGCAGGATGTAATCTCTTGATGCATCATCTCGTTTTCAAGTGTAATTTTTTTCCTAATAAAAAAAATACTTAGTAACAAGAATAATATGGCAACTACTGTCTAATAACAATTACATTTTTAAAAAAGTACATTTTAACAGCATTAAAAGTTGTTGTACAACTACTAATAGGCCTACAACTAATAAAAAAGACTACTATATAACTACTAATAACTTTTATTTCTTCCAATCCAGGTTCAGAAAGTTCCTCGCCCTCCCCCTAGGAAGGAAGTTCTGCCAGGACTGTCAGCTCCTCCTCTTACCAGGGGAATGGGAAACCCACTCTTTTCACAAGATGTCGCAAGCTGATGACATTACAGAGGCACGGCTGAGCAGGCCCAGTCTAATGCTGAAACCCCTGGAGAACAAGAAGAGCAACGCCCAGTACCTGTTCGCCGACCGCAGCTGTCACTTCCTGTTGGATACCCTGGCCAAGCGGGGCTACAGGAAGGTGCTCTGTGTTGGGACGCCCAGGTGAGGGGTTTGATTTAATTTAGACTTTTTGTCTGTCACGTTGTTTAAACAGGGATTATGTTTATTATAACGTTTTGCATGTTAGGTTCACATAGTACCTACCCGTTTCACTCCGTTCCAGAGTGTTTTGTTCCGTTTCGTGCCTATTGAACATGCCCTGGTTGTTTTAGATTCAAGTGCTTTGTTATCCTCAGGGATTTTAATGTTTTATGGATGATTTGATTGATTGATCGTTTAATTCACTGTTTCTTCCAGACTTCATGAGCTGATCAAGCTAAGAAATCAGGAGGGTAAGAGTGACCCCATGACGAGTCTGCTACTGGACATTGACTTCAGGTCAGTTTTATTTTATTGGATCACACAATGCGTTTCTCTTTGCGTTGATGAGTATTTGCAATGAATGAACAAAACAGGCATCGAAATAATTTAGAGGGGAGCACACACTTTGAATGGTACATGAATGTGCTTATTGCTTTTCGAACGATGCTTATTGACATTTATGGATTGCTATGGGAGTGTTGACATCCTGTATCTCCATATGACTAGCCCACACCTGTCCTTCCGGTGGTCTTAGGAAGCGGAACGCAGGGTGTAGAGGGGCTCCGTGAACTGATGATGCACCCTATCAAACACAGGCGTCAGGGCTGCAGAAAATTTCTGCAGCACCTTCATAGTATCGGCATCCTAAAATGCCAGTTTGCCCTTCTCGTAGTTCACCCACATGCCCACCCTACCTGGCACCGCTCGCCCACTGGTGGAGCACGCCACGGGCCTGTCGTTGTGCCAGGGTGAAGAGACGCCCATCCCAAAGCTCCACGCACCACGAGTTCCTGTACCGTCCCAGCTTGGCACCTTTGTCCCGCCCCTTCCTGTCCAGGCAGCTGTAGGCCACGCCCACAGCCTGAGCAGCTGCGGACGTCAGCCTCCCAGTAGCGTCGGCCCGTTGTCACGGCAGCAGAGCCCAGTGCACAGCAGACCTTGTCGAACTGGAGGGGACAGTTGTGGACCGGAGAAGCACATGCCTCATCCCTCTCCTGTCAATGCGATCTGGCTATGGCAGGTCTGCCTGTGAATCATCACAGGGGAGGAGTCTGAAACAGAGACAATGAGGGGATTTGATTAATCTGTCCCGGGCGCCCTGGTAAGCGTGTTTTGCACCGGGTGAAAGTAAATTGCATTTGTTTTGGAACTGGGCTACCACCCAGGTGTGAGCCAGGTGCCCCATTCAAAGCCCACAGCGAAGTCAGCTCAAAACGAAAGTGATGTAATTAAGCATGTGGAGTAATGAGTAGGATTCAGTGTTTTCGCATGCAAAAGTGATCAAAAAAACAATGCTTTATCTGCCTTCCCAATGAAAACTAGTTTGAAAATGTAAAACCTATATTTTATTGAAAAGAGATGTATGTTTCCGGACGATGCACTATGTTGCCTTGTTGACAACATGACCAAGCAGCGCAGATTACTGTTCGATTTGAGAAGGGCGCTCCTCCCTCCCCTCTTTTCCCCATTCCCGTCACGGTCCATAGACTGGTGCCCCGCGGCTCAGCATAATCTAATCCGCCCAATCATCGTACCTCATCATACATCTGTTACATAAACAATCCTAAATACCGGTATACAGTGCCTTCAGAAAGTATTCATACTCCTTGACTTATTCCACATTATGTGTTTCAGCCGGAATTCAAAAATGAATTAAATATATATTTTTCTCTCACCCATCTACACACAATACCCCATAATGACAAAGTGAAAACATGTTTTTAGAATTTGTTGCAAATTTATTGAAAATGAAATGCAGAAATATCTAATTTACATAATATCTAATTTACATTACATACATATTCTCAGATTCTGCTAATAAGAAATGATTGCCAATCGATTGGTTCCCAATTACTGCAGATATGACTGGTTAGAGGATGTGAGATGTTTGAGGCTGGTTCCTACTTCACAGTAGGGTCGTAAAAAAAATACCTTCTTGAACTTTCATGTGCCTTAATTAAAAACTTTTATTGGATCTGTAAATATGAATAAAAATGTTACATTATCAGCCTAGTTGAGCCAAGGAGAAAGCACTGAGCTTAAGGGCGAAAGACCAGATCATGATTGGCTGAGACAATGGAGTGGTTGGACATGCCGAGAGTCCTGATTTGGTCTGTCATGTCACAGGCTTCTGTCTATAACAGAATGGGCTCTTCCCTGGACAGTATATACATTGAACAAAAATATAAACACAACAGGTAAAGTGTTGGTCCCATGTTACATGAGCTAAAATAAAAGATCTCCGAAATTTTCCATACGCACAAAGCGCTTATTTCTCTCAAATGTGGTGCACAAATTTCTTTACATCCCTGTTAGTGAGCATTTCTCATTTGCCAAGATAATCCATCCACCTGACAGGTGTGGCATATCAAGAAGCTGATTGATTAAACAGCATGATCATTACACAGGTGCACCTTGTGCTGTGGACAATAAAAGGCCACTCTAAAATGTGCAGTTTTGAGGGAGTGTGCAATTGGCATGCTGACTGCAGGAATGTCCACCAGAGCTGTTGCCAGACAATTTTAATGTTCATTTCTCTACCATAAGCCGCCTCCAACATCGTTTTAGAAAATTTGGCAGTACGTCCAACCGGCCTCACAACTGCAGACCACGTGTATGGCATTGTGTGGGCGAGCGGTTTGCTGATGTCAATGTTGTGAACAGAGTGCCCCATGGTGGCGGTGGGGTTATCGTATGGGCGGGCATAAGCTATGGACAACGAACACAATTGCATTTTATTGATGGCAATTTGAATGCACAGAAATACCGTGACGAAATCCTGAGGCCCATTTCTTTTAAGCTATATGTGACCAACATATCTGTGTTCCCAGGCATGTGAAATCCATAGATTAGGGCCTAATGAATTTATGTCAATTGACTGATTTCCTCATATGAACTGTAGCTCAGTAAAATGGTTGAAATTGTTGCATGTTGCGTTTTTATATTTTTGTTCAGTAAAGGTCATTAAAGCAGCATAACTTTCCCATGTTTCCTCCAACTACAGCTCTGAGTCTGTGCTTTTATAAAATGTAATAATAAGCAAATCACTTACATTTGACTTAGAGAAATCTGGACACAAATGAGAACGAGATCTCAATTGATTAACCTTAAATAAAGGTCAAAAACTGTGGCCAATTAGCCATTGAAAAATCAATCATTGACGACAAAGATTTGGGGAAAATAGAAAAAGATACTTTGGTCCCATTCTACACTATCATAACATTTTAGTAGTGACTTGTAAGCCCATGTGGGCTGGGCGCCGGGAGGTGTATGGCACTTAATATAATCTGATTGATATATTTTATTTATCACATTATTATATGCATTTTGACCTCAGAGATTTTTGGATGCAGCTTTGGGGAGCGATGGTAAGGCTGAACCACCCCTTCTCCAGGAGAGTCCATGGGGACCAGTGAGAGAGGGCCGTCCTGTAGTACTGCCTAATATTCTACAGGGGGAGCCATGGCACCACTCTGGGCTGAGAGAGAAGAGCCAGGACCAGGGGACACTTACCAGTCTCTGACCATCCGTTATTCGGTCGTTCTTTACCATTGCTTAGAAAAGATGTACACACTTGTCAGTAGTAATCACATACATTTAAAAAAAACAGAGCAAATCTATTCGCTACCACTGCGTTGATGATACCCTTCATTCAATATGTGGTTGTAGCTGAAATCAGAGTCCAATCTAACAATGTTCTGGCAGTGTGATTTGTATTATGAAAGTGAACTAGTTCCTCTGGTTTTAGGAGGCTGGTATGATGTGGTCTCAAGAGGCTTGTCTGTTGAAACCCGCCTGCGCTCTCCAGGCTCAATTATCATAAATATATGCACAACTTGGGTTCTTGTCAAAGTTTACAAAAATACAGGTAATTCTACAAAATCGTAACACATCTAGCAGGATCGCTGATTTCAGGATAGCAGAACTGTTGTTTTTTGTGCATAATTTAGGTGATCTTGAATGAATGCATTCTTGAATCAACGTTCACAAATGAGTGGTGTTGCGCGATAGTTATTAGCCTATAGGCCCAACTTTTGAAGAAAAATGTCCTTTGCCAGTTCTGTGCCCAATCATCCCAAACTAATAGACGTTGGCATAATGTACAGTACGTTTCTGAGATGCTCACTCTGTTCCTATTTCTGATCCGTTCTCTGTGAGTGTCTGCAAGGAATGTGTCAGATTGAACAAGGGAAAGGGTGTGTTGTCAGTTGACAAGCTGAAGGGTGCGTGCTGCTGTTGCTTAAGTGCCCTTCAGTGATTATCTTGCCAAGATTGTAAAGTTTATTTTCACACCCCATACACTTCTGTTGACTTTCTCTGAACTACAGGAAGAGGCTAACTATAGGAGTGGTCCTACCTTGAACCAATGTCACAGAATGATTGACTTGCTATGGGCATCATAATAAAACATTATTAAAGCAGATGTAACATGGAAAATATTGTTCTTGTATCTGTTCCAGATATGCCCAGTTTTATGGCAAGGATGAGTTCTGTCACTACAACATGTTCAACCATCACTTCTTTGGAGGAGAGGTACAAGTTTGAACCTGATGATTGTCTTAGAACCTTTTGGATAAATTAATAGTATTTTTTTTATGAATGAGTTTTGAAATCCATGTATTTGTTTTTACACAGGAGGCAAGTGGGGTCCTCCAAGCTTTCCTCAGTGAGGAAGATGGGGAGAAGGTGATCATGGTGTCCGACCCTCCATTCGGGGGCCTGGTGAAGCCTCTGGCCCATAGTTTCTCACAGATCTCAGAGACATGGCGGAAACTGCAGACCTCCGAGGGCAGTGTTTTGGAGATGCCCATGGTGTGGATCTTCCCCTACTTCTTTGAGCCGCGCATCCTTGAATGCTTCCCCTCTTTCACCATGCTAGACTACCAGGTAACCCACCTTTATGAACAACTTTTTATAGATGTCAAATGCATTCACACATTGACCTATTTGCATGAGTAGAGAATACTGATGGATAATAACATGCATTTATGTAGCGCTTTTCTCAAACTCCTAGGTGGACTACGACAACCATCCCCTCTACAAACATGGAAAAACGGGTAGAAAGCAGTCCCCAGTCCGCCTGTTCACCAACCTGACACCACGAGACATCGTCCTCCCTAAGGAGGAAGGCTACAGGTATGTACACACATCAACCTGACCTCACGAGACATAGCCCTCCCTAATGTACCACCCACTTTTCCCTATCGCACATGAGCCAAAAGATTATTGCAATAATTGATAGTAAGATGTTATCCTAAATGGAAGATGGAAAATTCTAGTTAATCAGCTCATTGGTCAGATTAAAGAGATTTTTAATTTGAGTGGGAAAGTTTTAGAGGAATTCTTAAGAGGCACGATTACATTTGATTCATCTTCTTTGTCTCTTTGCTTCCCTTTTTAGATTCTGCAAAGTCTGTGAGAGATATGTGTGGGCTCAGAACAAGCATTGTACTAAATGCAACCTGTGCCCTTCAAAGGTATGTCTTTCCCCATCGCAGGCTGAAAAAGTAAGGTTGCACAGTTTAACTTGATGAAATAGTTAGCCACATTCCGTTGAATTGAAGGTGCTTCACATGCTGGGATATCACTTTTCACAACTGATCAGGGTTTTCATTGTTTTTCTCCTTTGTTCTTTCAGGATGGGAGAGAGTGGAAGCATTGCTCAGAGTGTCAGAAGTGCGTGAAGCCATGTGAGCATTCCATAGACTGCCATTTAGTCATTTAACAGATGCCATTATCCAGAGCGACTTACAGTAGTGAATGCGTAAATGTTTGTACTTTATCATACTGGTCCCCTGTGGGAATTGAACCCACAACCCTGGTGTTGCAAGCGCCATGCTCTACCAACTGAGCCACACGGGACCACCCCGTCAAACCCCAATGTTCATTATTTGGTTTGAGTGATGGTCTGATTGGTACCTCTGCCCTCTCATCACCTCCCCAGCTTGGCGCCACTGCCAGTCCTGTGCCTGCTGTGCTCTCCCGGACCACCCCTGTGGGAATAGCCCAGGTCTGGAAGGCTGTTTCAACTGTGGCAGCCTGAAGCACAAACGCAGAGCCTGCCCTCTCAAAGACAAACAGAGGACCAATAACAAGTGAGTTTACTACCTGTGTCATATACCCAGACACAACACTTAAACACAAATACACAGAGACACGCACAGGGCTGACACAACTTATTTCCCTACCCATATCAGTACAGTGTTGATGGAGTCTAAATGACTAGTGTTTCTCTTGAGTGTTCGTACGGATTGTGTTTGCCTGCCTGATGTGTGTGTGTCTCAACTTGCTCTCTCTCTCTCCTATTCCAGTAGATCCAAGGCCAAGGGAGGCAGGAACCTGCCCAAACAACATCCCAAGAAGTCCAATTCCAAGAGGAAGTCTGGGGCCCAGCGCAGAGCCAACAAGTTGAAGAAGACAGCAGAATAAGTCACATGACCCCACTCGCACAATCATCAGGCTGCAAGGGAGATGTGTGTGTGTGTAGCAGATGAGAAGTTGCTAGTGAGAGCTAGCCATTCTACATGTGCATGTGTGGGTTTAAAGTGTAGGACAGTCTTTAAAGAATTGTACATGTTGCTTAATAAAAGTATCAGATATAGGTTCATCTCATGTTATTCCACCATTTTCAGTTATTTCACTGAATTCTTGATTTCCTGGTTTATGCAAATGTGTAATTCAGTTGATATAGTGCTAGTAGGAACATGTCTATGCAAAGAAGAAAATATATGTAGTTGAACGCTCTGTGCATGTTTACTAGTCTTTACTTTAGATCATTGCTTAACGTTACCTCAAAATTAGGGATATGCCATTGCGTCAATATAACTGACTGGATTTATGTATGAAACTAAAACTGAGCCTTTAGGAGATCTCTTTTATATAACAAAATAGGTGAAAGACATTACCTTTTTAGTTCTGTGCTAAAGATGGAGGGATAGAAATGCTATCTTTTTTTACTGCCCCGCAGGCAGATGATACGGAAGTTAGGGAAAAATGATTCCTTTATGTATTCCATGCAGATCTGGACTAATACATTTTACATTAAAGATTCAAGTCATGTCCTTCCAAGAAAAAGGAACGCAGGCAATATACAAGCAATGGAGGAGCTTTCAGAATAGTTGTGATCTCGCTGCATTTAGTAAGTGTTTGGTTTCTAAATTTGTATTGTTTATTTTTTTAAGGGATATTATATAAATGCTATCTTGGAACAAAAGCTACTGCAGATAATTAATTCAAGGCCAATTTGTGAAGAAATGTTAACTACCCTTTATGCAACTGATTTGATTAGAAATGCACATTCATATGAACTGGAGTGAAGCATAAATGCATTTTCATTGTTAGTTCATTTGTAAGCCACCTGGGGGCAGAATGACTCTTCCTGTATCTGTCATGGACACCATTCCCTGTGGATTTTCAGTTTATTTACTTCCACCACAGGAGGTTGGTGGCACCTTAATTGGGGAGAACGGGCTCGTGGTCATGACGAGTGGAATCAGTGGACTGGTATCAAATACATCAAACATGGTTTCCAGGTGTTTGCCAATCAATATGCTCCGTTCCGGCCATTATTATGAGCCATTCTCCCCTCAGCAGCCACCTGTGGCTTCCACCTAACCTTATCCGAATGTCTCATTGATGTGTTTTCAGTGAATGCAGTGTGAGTAGGAGTGGACATGAAAAGACCTCACCCAGACACTGATAGAATATGACACTGAGCATACATGCACACACACACACCGGTCGCTGTATGGGGACAATAGAACAGACACTTGCTCACAGCCAGATTCATACATATATTCATGGAGGAGATGGTATAAAGAGAGATTCACAGTGAGCCGTAACACACACACACACAGCCCAATGTTCTTCCTCACAGTGGTAGAGAGGTCTCTTCAGAACAACCTTGCTTCAATGAGCTGAGCAGTGGATACAAACAGTGTCCATTTGGGCGACTCCTTGCATCCAGTTTCACTGGTCTGTGTCAATCATTTCCTGGTCAATCATCCACATCAAATTAACAAGACTGAAGTTATGTCAGGCAGGTACTGGAAAGACCGAGAGAGGAAGAAAGTGCCAGCAGACCATTTGAAGCTGAACAGGGCCGACCGGCGTTTCAAATCCTAAACAGATCTATGAATTGGAAATGAGCCTATGGGTGAGAAAAAAAACGAATTTGATCTGTGATTAACTGTGGCTGAATGGACTGTCTTTCTCTTCAATGAATTCAATAGGAGATATGTTTAATCAGTTTTCCTTTTTCTCCCACATCAAACCACTACTGGGACCAGTTAGAGGAGGGATGAGAGGAGGAGTAGAAAGAGAAGTGAATCATAATAGAGATGAAAGAACAGGATGCGTGGACATACACACACAGAGAGACTGCCCAGTCTGTCACCCTATCTCCTCTCAGTTGTCATAATGTCCACTTCATTATCTGGGCTTTCAGAAGCTATTATGGTCACCGTGGATATGAATCATGTTTTGGTCCAGGGTCTTATTGTAAATGGACAATGTCCTTGTCAGGTCACACAAAGCTCTTGTATAAGTCCTTTATAACTATTTTTAATTAAACGGATACAAAGTGTAGACCTTTCTCTACCTGTTGTTTTGGTACTGTGCTGGCATTTCTTCATATTTGATGGGATCTATTTTTGATTCCAAGGACCCTTTCATTTCTTTACTCAAGAGAATAAGAGTGAAGCATGTTATTTCCCTTTACCTGTTGTGTTACAGTACCAGGGTGTTTTCCTCACAGGGCCATAATACTGCCTGGCAAATGAGATATAATAGTGATACTTCCACAATGACAAACCATCCGTCAATTATAATTATTATATTATACTGGCCCAGTTGATTGACACATGGACCACTATGTCAATGTGAAGTTCATATAGCCATAACACTCTGAGTGGAGCTAGAGATCACAGCTGCGCCAACTGTGAAAATTGTAAACAACAGCTGTTGTAGAGAGAATGTTGCCCATTCTGGCTCCTAATGTTGACAGTTGCCTGCCTCTGGCCTGATTTGACAGCAACTAATACAGCCATGTGGGCCGAAATGGTAGTGATGAGGGTTCTGTGCTGTGACAGAATGGAAGAAGGAGTCCAGTAAGGACACGGAGTGTGTGTGTGTGTGTGTGTGTGTGTGTGTGTGTTCAGTGACTGGGTACATTCCCAGCGTATTTCTACACTCAAGCCTGGCTCTGTCTCAGATGTACAAGCCAAGGACCTGTTATTGTGTGTGAACAACAGTTGGGTGACTCTGTGTGTGTGTACGTGTGTGTGTGTGTCTGCGCATGTGTCCGTGAATGAATGTGTACGTGCACGCACGTCACGCACCTTCTTATCCCAAAGCAAACTGTTAGGCAACGTGACAACATTATCGGCAAGCCTCCAAAGCCTAAATTCAGAATCTCTCATCAAAATCTACAATAATATTATCTAACTTCCCTATCTCTATAACCTGTATCCGCCTTCCTTATTGCACCACTGGTCTTTACTACTGATATGAACACTATTATAAACAGACTTACGTGATAATGAGATCCCTTGCCTCACAGACAGATCCAGATGTGTGTAGTGAAATATCATATGTATGGCTGAACCCCAGTGTTTGTTCTGGCACGGGTTGCCCCACAGGAAATGGTGTCCTTCTCTTTGGCCCTTAGCCTGCTGGTTAAACACTGAACTGGACACTGTACAGTCAGATTCTGTGACTGGCCTGAAGACACACAGGCAGGAAGGTTGTCACGAGCCCTAAGGACACCAAATGGGATGTTAGAGGGGGGGGGGGGGGTAAAATATGATATAAAAACAAGATAGGCCTACATCTGAGTTGTGTCATCCTTTTGATGACCTATAAAGATATTAAGATAATCACTAGAGAATACAAAAGAAAAAAGGCTTGGAGGACTTTACATGACACACATCTAAAGGAACCAGATGTAAGCAAAGAAATTTAACATTTGGCATAGGAATAGGATGTCTCTTTGAACCTCCTAACCTTTGAAGCAGGGGACCAACCACCCAGCGGGTGTGTTGGGGTCTGCTTTCATCCAGAGGGAACAAAGCTTAACACATCCTCACGCCACAGCAGGTGACACACACACCTTAGACCTTACATGCACCGTCACTCATGCCACACACACTCCCATGAGGTTGTACGCACACACATACACACACATAGCCTCAGTGATGGGAATGAACTATTAGAAACAGCCAAACCCTCAGACTACATCCAACTGCTCACACATCCCATACACACACACACAGTTGCTAACACACACAGTTGCATCATGTCTCACCCCAGACACTGTGATTTCCCTGTTGTTTTCAACTTCTGAAGCTCCTTGTTACTAGGGAGGTGTAGAGGACAGAGGAGAGGAGTGGAGAGGGAATATCTGTGTCCCAGCAGGTCAATCCCAGTACCAATCAGGACTTGATCATAGAGTCTAGTTAGAGGGAGTGGTGGACCTGAGAGTTCAATGCCAACCGTTTTACTCACTTAGAAACACACATGATTAATGGACCTGTATATTTGAAGAGCATGTGTCTTCTGAGAGTTGTTGGGAGATAGGGAGATATACAGTAAAGGGAGAGATGGAGAGGGAGGGAAAAGAGAAGAGAGAGGGGGAAAGAGAAAGATAGGGGGAGAATGAGACCACGTTACAACAAGAGGTCCCAGCGCAGTCCAGCTCTCTATCCCTGCAGGGCTGCACAGTAGGGAGGGAGGGGGGTAAGGGGGGAGGGTGAGAGAGGTGGAGGGGTGGAAGAAGGGGTTGTAGGGGTGGGGGCCAGCGAGTTCTCCGCCTTGGCAGAGAGGGAGCAATTCTGAATCCCTCTCTCCATCCCTCCATCCCATCTATTCCTCCATCCCCTCTAGTCCCAAAAAAGGATATAAATAAACATCCAGTCCTCCCGGAGCCCTCACCAGAAAGGGGAAAAGTTTAACACGAGAGGAGAGGAGAAAAAGAGAGAGAGGAAGAAACAGAGAAGAGAGGAGAAGAGAGGAAACCCCTTGTCTCTGGTGTCAGAGTGAGTGTTCAGTGGTAGCAGCAGTGGTCAGAAGAGAGAAGGAACGCATTCCTCCACCATGGGGTGAGTACTGCAATGATAGAGGGGATGCTGTGTCGTCCCGACCGCAACCACCATTTGTCTGTTCGTTTATCGTCGTTCCCATCGCTGTGGCTGGGAGAGTGAGTGGGTGTGTGTATGGGATGTGTGTGTGTGTGTGTGTGTGTTTACGAGTGTTTATCCCAGCAGCTCTGATGAGTTATGGGTGTACTTCATAGGGTTAAGGGACTATTATGAAACTGAGAACACACTGTGCTCACACACACAACCAGAAATCACTTCTGGCATTTAGGAGTGTGTTTATGTGTGTGTGTGTGTGTGTGTGTGCCAGATGAGGCTGGTGGGAGGAGCTATAGGAGGACGGGCTCATTGTAATAGCTGGAATTAAATCAATGGAATGGTACCAAACACATCAAATACATGGAAACAACTTGTCATTCCATTCCTGCCATTATAATGAGCCTGTCCTCCTAGAGCTCCTCCCACCAGCCTCCTCTGGTGTGTGCGTGGGTGTGCATGCCTGCATGCGTGTGTGTGTGCAAGTGGATGTGTGTCTGCTGGACGGCATTACTTTAAGTGCATGGCATCGGAGCAGACCTGTGACTATAATTGACTGTGCATAATGGAACAACCTCCCAACCTAATTCTTTCTGAGTGAAACTTTTACACTGGCGTGGAAGTAACGCCAGGCAGACGAAAAACAACTTAAGTGGCCCCACTGTCTCAGAGCGGGGGCATTTACATCCCTATGATTTACATTCGCTCACAGTCCAAGACTTTTCCAACACGTAGGCTTGTTTTTCCCGGGTCGTCTCCAGACTGTATTTATTGTCCTGCGTTTCGCGTTAGCAACTGTTGTGGCATGCGTTTTGTAACCCTGCTGCGTATGTCTAGTCTCTTTTCTTTCGCTCTTTGACAGCTCCCAGCTCGTGCTTCAATTTGCCAGAATAGCGGGGTCTCTTTTACACGTTGCCCTATGCGCATCCATGGTGATGTAAGTAACATTTTAATAAACACACGTCACAGTAAACTTCGCCAGTGGCTACTTGGAACACAGCTTTTCTCGGAGTGAAGCCCGTCTTCGCTGGAGTCATGGGAGTCTGTGTCTGTGTCTGTGTCAGAC